CCAGGCCTGTAAGCAGTGGTTCTCAGACTGCAGCGTGCGTGGCGTCCCTGGGTGGCTGGGTCCTGTCCTCAGAGTTTCTGATCCTGTAGGTCTAGGGTGAGGCCCCAAAATCTGACTTGCTACTGAGTTCCTGGGTAATGTCAGTGTTGCTGGGCCAGGGGCCATACTTTGAGAACCACTGCTGGGGGGCTGGCCACAAAGCCCAGTGGGTAAGGGAGTCACAGCCCACATGGCCCACGGCAGTTTGAATCCCAGCCCTGGCGCTTGAAACACACCAGGCATGTGTGCATGCCTGCCCCAAATCCTAACAGGGTGGAGAGGTGGAAGAGGTGACAATACTCCGTCACAGTGACCTTTCTTTCTCTTTTTCTTCCTTCCTTCTTTCCTCCCTCCCTCCCTCCCTCTCTCCTTCCCTTCTTCCCTTCCTCTCTCTCTGTCTGTCTCTCTCCCCATTTCTCTTTGGTGAGAACATGTGCCCTCTGGCAATTTTTAAAAAACAGAGAGGAGAGAGAACCAGTATTCTAAGTCCACACAACAGGAGCATAACTGAAGATTCCAACCCACAGGCAGAGTAGAGGGAAGGATTTCTAACCACCTGACCACAGCTTCTTCCCTAGGTCCTAGAGCAGCCCCTGGCACGTGGTAGACACTCCGAAAACATCAGTTCCATGAGGATGAGACCCGCATCGTGTATATAACAGGAGCCCAGGACGGGGCAAAGGACCCCTGCCCATGCTGAGGGACTAGGGTGCCAGCGTCATGGAGAAGAGAATGCTGGAGGGCGAGTAGGAATTTGTAATCAGAGAAGAGTGTTCTGGCCAGAGCACATGGCATGTGGCGTGCCAGGGTGTGCTTGTCACAAAGTATCTCCTACCCGGTCCCATTCTCTGGCTGCTTCTCCTCCAACCACCGAGTGCACGGTGACCCTCCCCCCACTGCCCGTTGCCCTGTTTCCTAAACATGCCGGGGATGAGATGACCCAGGATGCTGGCTAAAATGCAGCCGTCGGGTCCCTGGCTGTGTCTGCTGGTCAGAATTGCAGAAGGAGGGCCCGGGAACCTGGAGAGGAACTTCAGTCTGGGGACCAGCAGATGGAGTAGCGGTTATGTCGCTGGACTCTCACAGGGCTGGCTGTGGTTCGAGTCCCAGACCCAGGGGCTTGAAACTCACGCTGGGTGTGTGTGTGTGCATGTCTAAGATCCTGGGAGGAGAACGGAGAAGGGATTGTGGTGTAGCCATCCCTCCTGTGGGGTGATTTCTCACTTTCCCTCTCACTGTTTTTATCTTTTTCTCTCCAGTGATTGTATGTGCCCTCAGGCAAAAGCTTCTAAGATAAATAAATTAAATAAATACAGTCCAAAGGCTTTATTTTATATAGATGTATTCATTTTCTGTTACTCTGTGACAAATGTCCACACACGGTGGCTTACGCAACATACATGTATTATGGCGGTTTCAGGAGTCAGGAGTCTGGGCACAGCCTAGGGTCCCCTGCTCAGGGCCACCCAGGCCGCTGTGCAAGTGTCTGCAGGCTGTGGTCTCACTCACCTGGAGGCTCAGTGAGGGACGGAGCCACACACCCATTTGGTGTGTGCCAAATTTGCTTCCTGAGGGGCTGGCAGGTGGCATGGTCGGTAAAGGCATTGGACTCTGCCTGACCCACCACGGTTCGGGTCTTGGACCTGGTGGCTTGCTTTCTCATTTTCTGGTCAAATTAAAAAGCAATAATAATAAAGTTAAATAAAATAATTCTTAAAAAAACAAAAAACAAAAAACAAATCAAAAAACAAACAAACCTGGAGTTACAGATTTGGGCTTCCCTCCTCCTGCCTCAGCCTCTAGGCCCCAGGGACACCCGCCTCATTCCTGAGTGTGGCCTTCTCCGGAGGCAGGTCCCGACACCAGAGTTTGCTTTTCCAGCCCAGCAGAGAGCTCTGCTCGTACGTAGAGGCTCCTTCAACGCGATGCAGACACAGGACTTACCTCCGTCACCGCTGCCATATATCGGTGATTCAGGGCAAGTTCCAGGTTCTGCCCACACTCAGAGGAAGAGGTTTGCGCACTTGTAATTCCCTGGGGCTGGCTTTAGGGTCTTCTTCCATAGTGGGTGAGAAAAGGAAAGGTCTGAGGTGCTAATGGAAAGAAACATTCCTTCTTTTCTACCCTGTCCCTCATCTTCCTTTTTAAAAATACTTTAGGACCAGCAGGTAGCATGGTGGTTAAAGCACTGGGCTCTCACATGGCTAACCATGGTTCGAGTCCTGGACCTGACAACTTGCTTTCTCACTTCCCCTTTCTCTGGTCAAATTTAAAAAATAATGCTAATAAAATGAAATTAAAAATTCTTTAAAAAATACTTTTAAAATTTTATTTTATTTTACTTTTGGAGAGGTTTTTGCTATAGGGTGTGTGCGCTCACCAGACAGAGAGACAGAAAGCGAGAAATCACCCCCAGGGGGGATGGCCACACCGCAATCCCTTCTCCATTCTCCTCGCAGGATCGTGGGCACACATGCACACACACGATGTGAGTTTAAGCCACCAGGTCCAGGACTTGAACTGCAGTCAGCTACATAGAATTCCAGCGACATAGTCATTATGCCAATTGCTGGTCCCTAAAAATACTTTTTGAAGAATTATTTCTTTAATTTAATTTATTTATTTACTTACTTTAATAATTTGGCCAGAGAGACAGAGGTAGAGAGGGAAAGTGAGAAAATAAGCTGCCAGATCCAGGACTGGAACCATGGTTGGCCATGTAGGAGTCCTGAGCCCTAACCACCATGCCACCTGCTGGCCCCATCCTCATCTTGTAATCATCGTATGTATATTGCCGTAATCCAGGAGTCAGCAGATTCTGGACGTAAAGAGTCAAATATTACATATATATCACTATGTTTAAATGGTTTTAATTGCCGTGTGCACACGAGAAGAAAAGGAAGAGAGGAAGCTCCCCTCCTCCCTCACATGACCACCTTTTTGACTCCATTTCTCCATCCTGTCAGGATCTTGGGCACATGTGCACATGTGCCTGCCGTGTTTTTCTTTCTTCTTTCCTCTTTAAGAGAGATCTTTGTGATAAGAAACTCTCCAGAGACAGAGAGAGATGAGAAAGAGAGTGAGAAATCAGTCCCTGGGAGGACGGCCTTGCCACAATCACTCCTCCTCTGTTCTCCTCTCGGGATTTTGGGCATGCAAGCACATGCACCCAGGTTGAGTTTCAAGCTGCTAGGTCCAGGACTTGAACCATGGTCAGTTCAAGCGGGATTCCAGCACTGTAACCACCACGCCACCGGCCGGCCCCTGCCTGCGGTGATTTTCAAGCTTCTAGTGCCATGATGAGAACTGCCGTGGGCCATGTGGGATCCGGCTTCCAATGCACAGCACTACTGGCCGCGCTGTGGCTGGACCTCGTAGGAAGTGCTCCAGCGTTTGTGGGCCAGGTGGGTTCTGCTGCAAGGCTGAGCTGACCAAGCCTAACAGCGGCCAGAGACTGTAGAACAGCCCAGCCTGCCGGGCTCCAGCACAGCTTCAAAGATACCGAAGTTTGAATTTCAGTGATTTTTTTTTTTTTTTATGTCACTAACTGTTTTCTTGTTTTGATTTTTTGCTCAACCTTTTAAAAATACATTAACTGGGGCCAGCATTTGGTGTGTTGGTTAAGGCGCTGGACTCCCTGTAGTCAACTGTGGTTTGAGTCCTAGACCCAGCAGCTTAAAAACCATGCTGGGTATGTGTGCATGCATGCCCAAATTCTGAAGAGGAGAATGGAGGCGAAAGGATTGCAGTGTGGCCATCTCCCTGAGGGGTGATTTCTCGTCTCTCTCTGTCTCTCTTTCTGGTGAGTGCATATACCCTACGGCAAAAAAAAAAAAAATCTTTAAAAAGTAGTGTTAACTATTCTCTTGGCTCACGGGCCCTACAAAACCAGGTAGGGGGCAGGTTCAACCTGGGGGCCGTGGTTGCTGCTCCTGCCCTAACCAGATAGCCCTGTTTTCTGGAGCAGGAGCCTGTCTGTCATGAGAAGGCAGGACTACACAGCATGTGAGTACCTGCCTGGGTCACGCCCAGCACAGGCTCTGCACACGGCTGGTGCTCACTGATTTTTTTTCTTATTACTGGGGCCTCATACTTGCCAGAGAGAGAGAGAGAGAGAGAGAGAGAGAGAGAGAGAGAGAGAGAGAGGGAGGGAGGGAAGGAGGGAGAAAGGCCCCCCCACAACAGGGCCGGGTCGAATCCCTTTTCCTCCATTTCCTCTTCTCAAGATTTCAGTCACACCCACCTAGCTGGCATGTTTTCAAAGCCACTGGGCTGGGATCAGAATCATGGCTGGCGATGTGGGATCCATCTCCCAGCGTACACTACTCTGCAGGGCCTGACCGCGTTAACCTTTTTTGCTTATTTGCATGTTTTTCAAATTTTGCTATAGGGAACATGCATTCGCCAGAGACACACAGAGAGAAAGTGAGAAAGCATTCTCCAGGAGGGATGGCCACGTTGCAGTCCCTTCTCCACAATCCTCTCGGGGTTCTGGGCATGTGCGCGCACACACGTGTGCACATGCACACGCACACACACACACACACACACACACACACACATGTCCACCAGGTCTCCTAGCTGCTGGGTGCGGGGCTTAAACTGCATAGTCAGCCATATGGGACCCAGGGCCTTGGCTGGCTGGCCCAGCTGTTACTGCTGTAAACATAATACCTTAGGAATCACAATGGCATCACCTGCTAGACCGCAGTCTGAGGCGAGGATGAGGCCACAGATGCACTAGGTTAAAACAAACATCCCAAGTGAGGGGTGTTGTAGTCCTCAGTGACTGCGGGTTACCTGCCTGCAGATGCCTACCGAGCTCCTGGGGGACCCGCACTGCCACAGACCCTGCGGGCA